TGCGGTGGACCTATCAGAACAATGGGTGCAATATTTAAACCCTTGAAGAGCCGCTTACCGGCGCAACGCGTGTCGGGGCTCAGCCACGCTCCTTACCCTGCTACTAAACCTTAACCTCTGCATATAGATATTCACAGCTAGACTTATTTTTGCTTTATTCCTCCACATTGCAGGACCGATCTTCGGGGTTGGCAGGGAGGGTGTTTTGTTATCGTAGTACATAGATAGCAGTTATTTATCAGCAGATTAGGTGCCCTTTAAGGCACAGATTTAGGGCTTTCTGCACTGTTATTATATATTTGCTTTTGCTTTATAGATAAACTGCGGTCAGAAAGGCATTTATCCCCTGGTCTAGATTGAGATTTATCTAGACATTTGGCTTATATCCCCCTCTCTTTCCCTTCCGTTTGCCACCTACAAGATATATCTAGCTGTACTGATTGTTGCTACAGACAGCTACTTGTTTCTATTCTGTTGCACTTCCCATCCAGGGACTCGATCACATTGCTACTATTGTCGCTACTCTTGTAGGGCAATCAAGGAGTATATTTAGAACATATATCTAAACTTTATCCTTGGTGATTTTCATTTCTCTTCTCTACTATTTAGATATTTCCTAGTATATACAGTATCTGTATAGCACACGTTTTACTAATTCCCCCTTTTTTCTCTCCCGTGTTTAGAGGTTTTTACCTTTTTTAATTATACTTATTAAATGCTATAGTTTACATTTGTCCTCTTTTTATATCAGTGATACTATTAGGACAGATTACATTCTCTCATTCTCTTATCTAGTAATAAAAAAGATATCCTACTGCAATACTCTGGTATTTTGGCAGCCTATAGATAGTTATATAGATACATATATGTATTTATAACATTATTTTAAATGTATTTTGAATTTAAGATATATGTATAGTAATATCAAAATACAGTTAGAACAAATGAAAACCAATATATCATTTTTTTAATTTATTTTTATTTTTTTCATTTTATTTTTTTCATTTTTTTTCAATTTATTTATTGATTATTTTTTATTATATATATATATATATATAAAATTAATATCATTCTAAGAGTATTTGTATATTAATATATATAGTAATATTAAAATACACTTTTATTAATGATGTATGTATGTGTATGTGTATATAAAAGTACTTAGATCATATATATATACACATATATATTTATATATATATATATATATTTATATATGATCTAAGTACTTTTTATTTAATTCAAAAACTGTTTCATAACTTTTTTTTTACTTTGAAAATCTTTTTTACAGGCATGAGGGGGATTGCCTGATAGTTCAAGCTGGCCTCCTGCAGGCACTGCATAAGGACCCTGCAATCACATGGCCGGGGGGGTAGCAAATCGGGCAGAGGGGGTCTGCCTGAGCTCCCAGGCAGACCCCATGATCGCGACCACCGGTAAGTATGAAGAACGGCGGGGACGATCTATGCGTCCGTATGCGTGTAGGACCACCCCAAAATGACGGCATAGAATGCCCGCCATCCTTAAGGGGTTAAAAGAGAGGGATAATATTGCAAGTTATAAATAAGTTAGAGGAACTCACAATCTATTTATACACATATAACATGTCCCCTTTACAGATGTACAGAATCTTCTATTTAACATATTTACAAATGTTCTTGAGTTAGGCATTGCAAGTCATGTTTTAATGTTTGCAGATTTCACAAACTCTGTAAAGTGATACAATGTTAGCAGGATATTACCTTGCTGCGAAGGGATTTGATTTTTAAGATGAAAATATAATTTTGCCTCTCTATAAATCAATGGCAAGGCCACATCTTAAATATGCTGTGCAATTTTGGTCACCTGTTCTTTAGATGTATATTGCAAATGTGCAGAGCCGAGCTACAAAATTGATAAAAGAAAAGGAACATTTTAGTTCAAGAAAGTTTAACAAAAGTAAATCTGTTTAGTTTAGAACAACAGCATCTTTGAGGTGATATGATAACATTATACAAATATATTCAGGGCTAATACAAACCATTGTCTAGAAATCTATTTACAAACTGGAGTTTACATAGGACACAATGTCACATATTTACACTGGAAGAAAGGAGATTTAGTCTAAGGAAGAGTTTTTCACAGTAAGAACAATAAGGATGTGGAATTCTCTGCCTGAAGAAGTGGTTTTATCAGAGTCTGTACAGAGGTATAAACAGCTACTAGATAAATACTTGCAAAAACATAATATTCAGGGATATCATTTTTAATTTGTGGGGTAACAGCTTCTTGATCAAAGGAAAGATCTGGCTGCTGTCGTAGATAATTTACTGCAAACCAATTAGTTTGAATGACTATCTGTTCCTGTCCAAATTAAAGATAATAAAGTTGCGTGCACGCAGAAGTAAATTCACACTGAGACACAAAGTTCAGGGTAATGAAAGAACTTCAGAGAAGTTTAATGGCTTCTGACAGAAAATGGGTGCGCAGACCCTTTTAAAGGCATTATTACATCATTGAAGAAAATCAAGATATAGACAAATAGACATTGTTAATTGGCTTAGGTGCTAAGATGTTAGTAAAATGCCCTCCCCATTCTTAGGTCACTATCCATATCATTTCTTAACTCCTACAGGTTTTAGCGCCATTTTGCTAACATGAGGAGCTCACTCGATGGGAGGGGCCTTTTGGCAGCTATCCATTTAGAGCGTAACTGGCACTTGTTACTTTCTCAAGGCTAGGTTTCAAGGCTTTTAGTAAATACACATTTTATCAAAGCTATTTTGCTAACATGAGGAGCTCACTCGACGGGAGGGGCCTTTTGGCAGCTATCCATTTAGAGCGTAACTGGCACTTGTTACTTTCTCAAGGCTAGGTTTCAAGGCTTTTAGTAAATACACATTTTATCAAAGCTATTTCTTGCTGACATGCAAATTCTATGTTCTATAGACAAAGCTTTCTTGTAAAACTATGGGGGCCTCTTATAGCAAGAAGATTTAAAGGGGCCTTACAGATTTATAGAGGCCTAATAATTCTACAACAGTCCCCCCTAAAATGTTATTTGCTAAAAGACAAAACTTTATTTGTTAGTATCAGAAGATGTGTTAGCCCAAAGACACAGAAACCCCATGACCGCTGACTTAGTGTTAATGCAAAGTGCAAGTCTATCCCTCTCTTGACCCTAACAGGCTGCAGCACATCCGTCAGTACGGTTCAGGAACACTCTTCACTCCGCTGGTAACCCATAGTGGCTTATCCACTACTTCTCCGTACGGCAGTCTACCCATAAAGACGGACGCTGTCCCTGTACTGTCCCTTCCTAGACTTTCTGCACTTCATCAGTATACGGGAGAGTTTGTAGCGGAATACAGGGTGAGATGAGATCTTGATCATCGATTGTCAGATGAGTGAAGGTTGGTGTTGCTTGGTTTACAGTTTTCGGCAGGAATTTCCTTAGGCATGGGAGGACACAACAAATGAGAAGAGCGAGAATAAAAAGAAAAATTAGTAAGGCAATACCAATCTGGACTAAAGCTCTCTGCCAACCAGTCATCCAACCAAACCATTTTTCCCAGGGATCAGTAACTCCAGAGTTTCTCTTTAACTCTTCTGAGAGTCTATTTAATTTAGCTATGGCCAGAGTGACTTTACCATTAGGACCTGTGTTTTCTGGAATGTAAGTGCAACAAGTCATAGTGTCGGGAAGTATTTTACAGACCCCCCCTTTTTCGGCTAAGATCATGTCTAAGGCCAGTCTGTTCTGGAAGGTCATTTGGGATGTGGCCTGTAATTGCTCGGCCAAGCCCTGGAGGGCATCCCTGGTGTAGTTGACAAAACGCTGTTGGTTGTAATAGATATAATTAATCCAATTAAGGTTTTTGTTGGCAGTGACTATGGTAAAAAGTGATTCAAAACCTGCAGCTACTTCATCTCTAGCTTTAAATTCATTAGGTACCCCCCTAGGCACCCCAATGGCATCTATGTAAATGTGGGGGTCAAAACTGCCTTTTACTGGGGTTTCGCGCCTTACTCTGGCTGATGTATGTGGAGGGTCGTATGTGTCATGATGATTATCAGAAATAATATGAATGGGCATGATAACTTTGGCCAGGGTACACTCACCCCACCACTCAGTTTCCAGCCTAGATCTTAACTGTAGATCCCCACATAACCAGTAAATATCCCCCAATGACCTGGTATGGTGTTGCAACAGGCGTATAGGAACAGTTCTGTAAGTGGCGCAATAACCTTTAGAAAAGTTACCCATGAATTTACCAATCCCGTCATACATGGCATAACAAGTGTAATTACCTCTATAGACTGTGATTCCATCTGGTGGCTTAACATTTTCAACTAAGAGAGGGTATTCTGCCGTCCATGCCATGCAGAGGGACCTATTAAAGTCATATTGGTAGGCAAAAAGGCTTAAGAAGCAATCTTCTATCTCTAAAGGGAGAGTTAGGGGGACGGTGCCAAGGTGGGGTCGGGCACCGCCACATATATAACATGCTGTTTTATTATGTTTGTTGGCATTATACCTCATCCATTCTAACCACAAATTAATGTCATTGAATCCAGTTTCAGCGGCCATGGTATCTTCAAAAGTGGGGTTAGCGATGGCCATCATATCTTTAAAGGACTGGATATGTGGTTTTAGCGGATTTGGGAGCATATGAT